TAAACTGCTTAATTTTGAAAAAAAGTTAAAACTGCCATTTGTACAACTTTTTGCGTTGAATCCAATAAACTAGCACTCATTATCATAGTCAACTTGATTTACGAGATAAAAAATAAACTTGTGGCTTTGTATGTTTTTCTCCTTTTGTTGCCGTAAAACTTCAAAAGAAGATAAAAATGTGTAGTAGGCTATGGAAACAAGAACTATATTATCACACAAAGCACTGAAAAGGCTAGAAATCAACACTTTTTTAATTATCATATAATTCGTAAACTGCTTAAATTAGAAAAAAAGTTAAAATTGTCTTTGGTAGCCTTTTTGCGTTGAATTCAATAAACTAGCACTCGTTTATATATTATAAAAAGTTATCACTCGAAAAATATCAGACACAAAAAACCCGTAAAACTAGTTTATAACGAGCCAACAGAACATTCAATTACATGCTACTTGGACAAACAAACGATAAAAGCCAAAAATCTGCAACTCATTCCTGATAATTCCAACTATTGCTCACAATTGGCAATTTAATCCAGTTGCCGCTCATATTAGCATCAAGATTAATATCACAGCTTGTCGAGTCCATCGTCATGGTGGTCGCAAAAAAATACGTTTTGGTAAATCGCAGCGAGGGCTTTCCGCAATCCAGCGACTTTAAGCTGGTAGAAGAAACGCTACCCGAATTGAAGGAGAATGGTAAGTCCCAAAAACTTCGCAAAATTTCCAGTATTCTAGTCATTCGTTTGTAGAATATCTGGCTGAAGCAGTTTTCTTAAGTGTAGACCCTTATATGAGGGCATACATGCCAAGCTTGGAGCCAAACACCACAATGATCGGTTCTCAAGTAGCCAAGTAAGCATAGACATAAAATATGGGGGCTTTTAGCTGTACCACTGGCTGCTTTGCAGAATAGTGGAGAGCAAAAATCCTGACTTTCCTGTGGGAAAATATGTTGTGGGCGGGTTCGGTTTGAGGTCGCACACTATTGCCACTGCGGAGACTAAATCTGAGCTGGGTTTCAAGACGTTCCTGCTGCCTCATTTTAATAATTTACCCCTCTCGTTGGCTCTGGGCGTATTGGGCATGCCAGGGCAAGTAAAACGTCGTTCACTCCTCTATAAGCAACATCAGTGATATTAAAAATTTCAGAAACACTGCATATTTTGGTCTTTTGGAGGTGTGCCAGCCAAAACCGGAGGATACTGTAGTGGTTTCAGCCGCAGCAGGCGCTGTTGGAAGCATTGTAGGCCAGATCGCCAAAATCAAAGGTTTAAAACCACATCAATGCTAAATTTCCTTCAATAATTTAAAAATCAAAATGATAATAATCAATAAATTTTAATTGATAAATAGAGACAATAATTGACTGAAGCCCAGGAATTGATTTTGATTTGGAATTGAAACACAGTCAGGAAAGTATGTAGAATGAATAATTAAAAAACAAACCTATCTAGGCTGCACAGTGATCGGCATAGCCGGTTCCAACGAGAAAGGAAAATGGCTCACTGAAGAGCTGGGATTCGACTATTTTATAAACTACAAAACCCAAAATGTTGAGGAGGAATTGAGGAAAGCGGCCCCTAAAGGAGTGGATTGCTACTTTGATAATGTAACTAACTTAGCCCGTACTTTGCCAACGCAAGTATCCATATCCCTTACAGGTTGGAGGCGATATTAGCGTAACGGTCATCAACCAAATGAAGCCGTTTGGAAGGGTGGCCATCTGCGGAGACATCTCAAGCTATAATGCTACGGAGCCTGCAAAAAGTAACTCATTCCCCACCTGATTGACAACTTGTTGAAAATTCAATTTTTTCTAGTAATTTCCCCCATTCGCTCCATCCTGTTCAACGAGCTAAAAGTGCAAGGATTCCGGGTAAGCAGCTGGAACGAGCGATGGCTTGAAGGCATCCACAAAAACCTAAGATGGATCATCGACGGTAAACTCAAGTACCGAGAAACAATCACCGAGGGATTCGACAATATTTTCAAAGCATTTACGGAAATGCTACAAGGCGGTAATATAGGAAAAGCGATTGTAAAAGTCTAGAGCAATTTACAAGTATCCATTTGAATAAATTACTTGAAAAATTTATTTAGTCAAACCATAAAAACTACAAATTACTTAACCTTAGAACAAGCTGTGAACAACCATGCGAGACAACTAAAAACAAAAATAGAAGTAATTGCTTTAAATAAGTAACTAGGAAATATAGAAAAGTGGAAAACATGTATAAAAACAAACCTAAAGCTAAACATTTTACAACTATCGTATAGTTCGTCAAACTTGCGCGATTATAACATTATATATAAGTAAAAAAATCAATCAGACCCGCTATTTAATACGAATAAGTTAAACAAAAATAAATAATCCATTAGCATGCTTTGGCAACGTATTTCAAATATTTTTTGGCAAATTGCAGACTTTGTAATACCTACGCAGAATGAATGTACATTTGGAAGACCAGCAGTAAAATAGTGCAAAAACTGTCTAAACCAAAGCTGGTTCAAACGCTTGCTAGTGTTCTTAAAACTTTACCATTAATTCCAGATATGTGTGCATGTCTCCAGATAACCAACAACCAATTCCAATTAAGATTCGGCAAAGAATCCTAATTTCTCTCTCTAAAAGGCGAGCCTCGAAACGGCGATCCTCTGCTAGGACTTTCAATAATGGACCGATTGGGACTCCCCATGTTTTCTTTATCCAAGACAGCAATCTTGTACTTTTTCAACTTCTGCTCTTCAAACTGCCGAAAAAAAAACCAGATTAACCATCACAACGTCTGCTCTAAAAAACCCTGCCACAAACCTTATTTTTATACGACTTGTTCTCATTTTCCAAAATCTCCTTTTCCTTCTTAAGCGCCTCGTAGGCTTCCTCTATTTTACTCAATCGATCCAACTGATCAGTCAACTCGATAACTCTGGACTTATTATTGCGGTTTTCAACTTCCACATGCTCGAAATCCTGCAATAAGGCATCGTATTTCCCGCTTATTTCAATGTACTTCTTCCTGGTCGACAACGCTTCCTTGGCCTCTTCTTCAAAATTCTCCGACTTGACTTTGTAGTAGGCGCACTTATCAGTTAAGGCCTCATTCTGCTCTTCCAACTCGATTAGTTTCTCCTCAATTTTCTCAATAATCTGATTTTTCACCTTCATTGAATCAATAGTTGCTTTATTTTCCAGCTTTAAAATGTCGTTCTCGGTCGTAAGAGATTCTTGTTGAAATTTTAGCGATTGGACCAGTTTTTCAAAGCCGCTGGGATAAGAATTTTCAATCATCTTTACCAGTGAGTTCATTAGCGTTATTATTTCGAGAAGATCATTCACGCTGGCCAATATTTCATTTTTAATTGCTTGCTCTTGTTCCGTCTAAACAAAGAAAATGCTCATTAGGTGAGAAGAATTCTTTGATTTTATTTCGGGAATTCAATGCTCTCATTTGGTCTAGTTGAGCACAGAATGATTGAAAAATGCCCTAAACCCTACGCACGAACCTTTTTCTTGTAATCCTTGATCTCATTTGCGTACTGGTCCACTTTGGTCATTAAGTCTTCTTTCGCCTGCGTAATGGATTTTTCATTTAGTTTAACAGACGATTCGTACTGCATTTCCAGGTCTTCGTACATTTTTTTAGCTTCGTGCAGTTCATTGGTCAATTGAAAGTGTTTACTTTCATAGTCAATCAGTTTCTGTTCGCAGCTGGAAATATACGCACTATTTTATGATGATCGATCACTTAAGGACAGATAATTAAAAGGAAAATAGGCGAGAAGATCAAAGAAAACTGCAAAAGTTTAGCAACGAAAACAGCTACTAAAGATTCTGCACAAATACGACGGTAGTCAACAACACAGTTATATAAAATCTAAAAAAACACCCGAGTTGAAAACGAACTTGTAAAAGCATTTCTATTACCACAAACACTGTAAAGAAGCGGGTTTTTCTTCCTGCCACATTTCCCCAGAAAGTATCCAAAGCAAATAAATACAGCCGCAAAAACTATCAGACGCAACAATGTGAATACTTACCCGGTCAATTCTTCTTTCAGTTGTTCAACGTCCCTATCAGAATCAAACAGCCGCCTCTTCAGGACTTCAATGGTGAGCTGAGAATTGCAAATGGTAATCTGATACGCTTTAACTTCCACATTCAGCTTCTTGACATCGGCATCTTGTTCCTTTAGTTTTTTAGTTAAATCATCGATTTTTCCTTGAAGCTCCTCTTGTTGACATGTAGATTTTTCCAGCGATTCCAGCTTGCTTTGAACTTCCTGGTGTTTTTGATGAAGAGCCTCGTACTCCCGGCGGGTTTCCTCCAAGGATTTCTTAATTTCTTGTTTCTCAATTTCGCACTCAATGATGCTGTACTCGCTGATGGCCTGGCACTCCTTTAAAATGGCATCGGATTCCGATTCTTTCGTCTGCATCTTGTGTTTCCACGTTTCTTCAACTTCCTGCAGTTTGGCTTTTAGATCTTCCTCAGAGATTTCCTTCAGGTTCTTCATTTGGATCTCGTAGTCCAAAATAACTTGCCCGATTTGAAATTTATGCGCCTTCTTGAGCTCCTCGATTTCAGTCTCCAGTCGCTTCTGAATGTCCTTCATCTGAATCTCGGCGTCTTCTTCTTGCTTCTGAAGCCGGTTGAGTGTCTGAAGCATTTCGAATTCAAGATTTTGCAGTTCGTTTTGATGCTCCCGCTGCAGTTGCTCCTTTTCCAACGTCAACTTCTCCAAACATTGCTTACACTGCTCAAGTTCCATGGTTAATTTATGAAGGTATTTCGTCTTGGACTCGCACTCGGCTGATTTCTCTTGGAGAGCTTCGAGGTCATTTTTGAATAGATTATTTCCCCTGATTTTCGTGACGGAACCCGGAGTTTTTGGTTTTTTTATTATGGTTGGCTGAAATAGCAAAAAATAATTGAATTTTTTCAGTTTGTACTGTGATAGAATGTAGGTTGTACACCCAAAACTGCCCCACTTACTGTTTTAAAAGTTGCAGGTACACTCTTAACTGAGCCTATTTCTGAAGTCGTAGGGCTTCGCAGCCCGGTCGAGCTGGGAGTCTTCTTCAGCACTTTATCTTGTGCGGGCTTGGAATTTCCTGCAACAGAAATGGAAAATGAGTTTCGGACCACAAACGACTTAAAGTGGGGCTTAAACGGTGGATTCTTACCATTAACGTCATTGAAACGGATGATTTTGGCTTTGCTGAACGACATTCTGGACTAGACAACAACTAACACTAATTAACGAAGTCCGACAACAACAAAAAAAAGACTTTTACAAGTATAGAACTACAACTTTTCATTAATTAAACGCTACTTTCTACAATCGCCCGCCTAATTTCGACCGTTGAAAAACATGCTCATTTGACAAGCATAACAAAGAATGAATTGTCCAAGGTTGCCAGTTCTTGAACGTTTTTTCTGACTCTAACATGTTTGTTTGGGGATGCCTACCGGATATCTCATGTGTTTCCTCACTTGCACTCATGAGTATTCATAACAATAAACTGCGATGAGGGAGCGTCGTCTATGTGAAAATCCCCAAACTAAGACATTGTCAAAGTCAGTTCTGAGATATTTGTCAAGTTTCGAGATAAGTCGTTTGTAGAATTTGATTTAAAATTCTAACACAAATTGGTGATTTTTTTGGATAAGAAAAATTCCATTCCACTCTTAAATAATTCCAAAATGTTCCAAAGAAACAAGGTAATCAACTTAACTGTCAAAACAATTGCTATTTGATGGAATATACCTACATACAGAGACAACTACATATGAACACTTGAATTTGAAGTAGTAACATTTATTAAATATATCTGTAGAAATAACCTAAACATAATATTTATATTGTCCGCTGAGGACAGAATGATTCAGCCAGCCTCAAATTGTAAGCTCGTTAAGCGAAAATTTGAAAAAAATCAATATCAGTACATTTGCTGTTTTCAATGGTCTTCTGAACATCCAAACAGACATACTTTATATAACAAATTTATTATCAGTATTTCAATAATTGTTAAAATAATAATCCTTAAACTAAAGTCTACATCACTCTCTTCGTAAGTTGTCAAGTCGGGCTTGAAGATCGGCATCCGCATCAGACAATCCACCATTTCCAGCAGCTGCACCACCACCACCACCGCCACCTGAAAATTGTAATTATTTAAAATATTTTCCGTCGGTTAACTGAACTTTATTCTTGAGTTTGATGGTCATTAGTTTAAATATGTATTGAAGTGTGCATATTTTCTGCAATAAGTTCTTGCTCCTTTCGCATGCACTTCGTTCCAATCCATATATGGTCAGTTTTTAGACGACAGATCAAAAGAAATCGAAGTATAGTCGGGGCGGTCTACGGGGGCATTGAAAACATGTAGATATACATTTTATGAAAATTCGCTGGAAACATTGGAAGTGGCATCTCATTTAACGGAAACACTTTTGCGCCCTTAAATATGTCTTGTCCTTTGCCATTTTCATTGACTGACTGATTCATATTTTAATCCATAACAAGACTTAATTAGTTAAATTTACTTGCCTGCTACTGCAGCAGCAGCTGCAGGCTGTTTGCTCCCGGCTGCAGGTAAAACTCCCGCAGTTTGAGGCAATCCAGACAACGTGTCATTAAGCTGCAAGCCTAGTTCGTCTAATACTTGATTGACAATCGCATCACTGGAAAGCAGGAAATAAATCAGTGCGTTTCAATAACAACAAAGGGGAAATACCTTTCCTCCTCATCATCATCGCCCTCCATGGCGTCATCAATTGCATCGTTCATGACTTCTTCTTTCATGTCCATTATCTCGGACTGTTTCTCAAACTCTTGCAATATTCTTTGAATCTGCGGCAGGTTTAATTGGCGATTCATACTGGCCATTGCACGCGTCACTCCTGCATTTTAGAATGATGAGGACTGGAAAATTGCAAAGTGCAGTGATGTTACCTTTCATGGCTTGCGCCATTGCATTCTGTGATCGCAGGGTTTGGATTTTAAGCGACACTGCCTGGATGTTGGCTTTCATCAGCATGAATTTCTTGCAATATCGCCTTGTTCTCACTAAATCTCTGGCCATTATTTTCACTGCATCCTGGAAAAATGATTTGGATAGTTAACGTTAACAAGGCTTCATCAGGGCATAGCCCCAACTGCTCAGCGATTGAGTATATACCATCTGCCCCTCCTTAGCCAGTTTTTTAATGTCGTTAATTATCTTCTTTTCTTGCTGTTCCATCTTTTGTTTTTCACGGTCTAAATCTCTGACTGCCTTGTTGAGGGCTCTCTGGTTTTTACGCAGCAACTCCTCAGGGGTTAGTTTTTTGCCAAAAAGCCACTCCATCGTGAGCAGGAATGTGTCGAAAGTGATGGACACAAATGGACTTTATCAGACTTGAAGCAATTCAATATTTGTTTATTACTTGTAATGAGTCACTGACTCATTTCCAAAAAAAACACTTTGTGGTTGTCAGTTTGATGCATCGAATGTCAGAAACACAAAATATCCCCCCGGGGGTATGTGCTGTGGTCAGAAGTGTAAGGCGGCGGTGCCACATTTTGCGTCCGTAATGCCGGTTGTAATACCCAGCGAGGGCTACCGACGCCTCGTACCCACAACCGCAGAATTCTTAAATCCTCTGCCAAAATGATAGTCGTGGCATCCCTGTCTGTCAAGGTTGGTTAAGTCAAAACATGTGGTTGTGTTGTGTTTGGAGAAATCAGTGTTGAGAAGCTTTTTATATATTCTTCCTGTAAGAAGGTCAACTAATTTGTACTGCGGTGTGTTTTTCTCAAATAAACGGACTCTTTGCGCCATTGATCATATTAATAGAGTTCCACCAACAAAATGGTTGTCTATGATCACGTTGTGCAGGCAGATGTAATTTTCTTGATTGAGGCAACTGCAGTTAATGGGGCTTACATTGCAGATCTCAAGACTAACTACATCATACCTTCTCTGGAGTGAGTAGCTTTTTTGCATTCTATCTTTACCATTTGACCTCATTGATTATCAACCTCTGCAGATACTTTAACCAGGGCAGCATAGATGACAATACCCTGTTTGCCGAGATTTCATACTGCTTTTATGGCATTGTTACCTACCAAGCTGCCGACTGTTTGCCCAGCTTGACCACTGATAGCTTTGGACCATTTTCCACACCCGCCAAAGTATTGAGTGCAATTGAAAAACTTGAGTAAGTCCTTGATTGTTTCACTGCATTTCTCATGCAAAGGAATGATTCTCCACAGGTTGATTGGGGGCAAAGGAGAGTCGCATGCCAACATCGCGGAAGGTTTGGCAACTGCATTGTGCTGCTTTGAGGAACTGCAGACCAAGCGGGATCCGAATACGGTTATTCAGAAGCACTGCATCCTGATATGCAATTCTCCCCCCTACTCTATTCCTGTTTTTGAATGCCAGGCCTATTCAAGCAAAAGTGCTGAAGAACTCGCGACAATTTTGATGGAGGTATCCATGCAACCATCCTATTAAAAGCCCAAGAAAATATTATTGGTGTTTCAGAAAAATATCAATTTGTCCATTATATCGCCAAGAAAGACATTTCCACTGTACAAATTATTTGAAAAGGCTGGAGGTGATCTGTCTTCATCGCAGACGAAGAACTACGCAAAAGATCCTAGACATTTGGTACTGCTCAAAGGATATAGGTGGATTATTTCAGAGTTTGATGCGATATGAAACCAACCATGTTTGTATAATTTAGCTTAAAAGAGAGGCCAGTGAGTCCACCGACAGGCAATGTACAGAACAACGCGTCGCAGCTCGTTCCTGGTGCCCTGCCGGTTACATCTATGCCCAGTCCATTACCTGGAAACGACAGTCCCATACATAACACCCAGTTGGGCACCCCGCAAAACCCCAACATGATGGGAAATAATTCTCCCACAGTGGGCCAAAGCCCAGTGTACAGATCGCCAAATCACCCACCGCAAGGTAAACGCCTTTCATACAATTGGGAATTGTTCGAGTATCGTATATTATTCTATAGGAAGGATTATGCAAGGCAATCAGATCGGATCCATTGGCATGCAAGGCATGCCAGCTCCTCCTGGCTATCCTACTGGTAAGTATTCGCCATGGTTTTACCTCAACTTACACGCTCTTATCACCGAAAATAATTATACAGGTGCCAGACCAGGGTGGCAAATGCCGCCTCCGGGACATCAGCAGCCCAGGCCGTACATGCAAGTGAATGCGCCCAATCAGCAAGCCAATCCGAGCACTGGAGGTAGTGCGTTACTGGCGCAATTGAACCAACCACCTTCGATGCCAACTGGCAATGTTAATGTTAATCAGTTTGGTCAAAGTGAGTGATTTTTGTAGTCAAAGCAGCTAAAACTAGCATGATTCTGTTTTGCAGTTAATGTGAACACGAAAATTTTAAACCAACCAAACATTCAGACTTCGAAGGCTCAGAATTCCACCATGCAAACTTCCATGCCTCAGTCGTCCCAAAATAGCCAAATTCACCCGTCGCAGGCACAGGTTGGAGACGAGTTTTTTTTTATCGAAGCCTGTTTCAATGCATTGAGCATTGTTTTTTCAGGGTAGCCAGCCTCCTACCCAGCAGATCACTAATAGGGACCGACCTACCATTTGGCAGGGGTTGTTGGAATGGAACGAGAAGCCCAAGAACGCTAACGTAGAGAACCAAAAAATCTCCAAACAGGTTCCTTGCCAAGTGACGTGCAATACTAAAGATGGTGAACCCGAATTGTAAGTTTGTCGAATGGATCTAAGTCTTTGCCATTTATTAAATCCGATCGTTTCATTATAGAAAGGCTGATGCTTGGCCTCCGAAGCTAATAATGCAGATAATGCCTAAGCAACTAATTGGAAACATTGGAGGTTCCTACTTAAAGAATTCCACCTCTGTGCTCTTCCACCCGACTCAGTGCGAGGCTTTAGATTCTCTCACTCGTATTATGAATTCCGGATTTGTAAGTAGAGCCTTGAACACGCCTATATTTTCAATATGCGCTAATACCTGCTCCAAATCTCAGGCGGGCTGCGTGCACTTTACTAGTAATCCAAATCCTGCCGCCTGTGATATCAAAGTGCTAATTTTGTTGTACACTGCTGATAAAAAAGCATATCTGGGATTCATTCCGAATGACCAGGGTGCTTTCGTGGAACGACTTCGGGCAGTTATTCAACAGCAGAAGTCAAATAACATCAGAATCGTGAGTAGTACAGACATTGCTAGATAGGCATTATGATTAATCGGGGTTGTTTAGGGGGCATCTGGTCCTCCAATGAACCCCCAAGCCGGCGGTCAAATGCCGATGGCAGCAGGGCAACAAATCGGCGGCAACAATTCGAATACTTCTCAAAGTGCACAGCAGCAGGGGCTTATGATGTCTCAGACCAACACTCATTCAATGGGTGGTGGACAGATTACTCAAAATCTGGCCACTCAAGGTAGGTATTGCGATATTTTTTATTGTATATACTTTCCTGACTGTGTTTCAATTCCACATCAAATTCTGCTGCTTTAAGCCTTGGCATACATTTCTGCAAATGCATGAAAAGGCGTAAAGCAGCAACAATGCTACACATAAAAACTGATGATGGTGGAAAAATACTCCGAAACGTATTTTGATTGATAAATAGAGACAACAAATGACTGAAACTCAGGAATGAATTCGATTTGGATATTTTTAATTTAAAAGTTAAATCCTCTACTGATTTGTCGCAGGACAAGGGCCAAATCTTGGGCAGCCCGGAAGCGGCTTGGGTCAGCCAGGCCCATCGCTCGGACAAGCGGGACAGTCAGGACAATCTGCATCCGCAATAGGATCTAGTGGTAGTGGAATGGGCCAGATAGGCGGACAACCAGGCCAGGCCCCAATCGGTGGAATGATGGGACAAAGCGTGGGCCAACCAGGTAACGGTATGGTGGAAAACCTGTTGCAAGTTACTACAATTTTTTCCGTTCAGGCCCGAATCAGCAGCAGAATATGCAACAAGGCATGATCGGGCAACCAGTGCAACGGGGCCCATTCGAGAACCAATTGCAGGTGGAACGCCAGCAAAACCTGGAAAAGATCAATAAGCTGAAGCAAACTCTGGAGGCTGCCCAACAGCAGGAACAACAGTATAAAACGCAATTGGAGCGCATCAGTCATATGAAGACGACGCATCTTCAGGAGGCTCTCCAGCAGGCGCAACATGCAGAAATGCAATATAAAATAATGGAAGTAAGTGCGAACATTTGTTTTTTTCCTTTCGGAACTGATGTTTTTCTTGTAGCAAAGAATGGCTGCTCAAGGCAACCCACAAGTACCTCAACCCAATAACCCTCAACAACAGCGCATGATTAGGCCCGTGATGAACAATAACCCCGGCTTAAGACATCTTTTGCAACAGGTAAGTTCCAAGGAAAACGTTGCTCCTCGGTAGAACTAATACACGGTGATCTAAACTACATTTTCGGAACTATTTAACGTAGATACCCGGAATTTGGGGTTGTTTTAGTCAAGTTAGGGTAGTCAAGTGAGTCTTTTGCATTTGTCGGCGTAGATTTTAGAGTTGAATTGATTTATTTTGCTTCTTTCTTCCAGGGCTTTGAGGTAAATGAAAATAATGCATGTTTTGAATGCCAGCGATTTTGTACACAAAAAGTGTTTTAGGCGAAAGCTACGTTAAGCAGAAAATAAGAACGTTAGTTCAAAGCCATTAAATTCGGATTAATTTAGTAAAACTCATTTGTTTGCCTAATAGTAATTGTTAGTGAATACTTCAAACGCGTCGTACAAAGGAAAAATATGAATTTGTTTTGAGTTGTGTTTTCTGTCATACAATGCAATTTTTCTGCAATTTTCAGCAACCGCAATATAGGCAGCAAATGATAAATATGCAACAAATGGGAAACAATGCTAGGGGGCAAATGGGACAACAAATGGCCAATTCCCAAGGCGGTCAACCCAATCAATTTGATGACGTATCCAATTTTGATTTTAACATGATGTAACTTTAGAATAAGGACAACTTTTATTTAGTTTTAATAATTTTTATTTAAAAAAATATACATCAGTGTATAGCTAGATTCTGTCTGTATCTATTTTTACTGATTTTAGCATTATTTTTAAATTGTATATACTTCCCTGGCTGTGTTTCAATTCCAAATCAAATTCATTCCTGGGCTTCAGTCATTTATTGTCTCTATTTATCAATCAAAATATGTTTCGGTGTATTTTTCCACCATCATCAGTTTTTCTAATATAACAGATAGTTAAAAAAAATTGTCATCAATTTAAAAAACAATCACAGTTCAACAGCCTCATCATATCACACATTAAAATACATCACAATTGCAATACTTTAGAACATTCTAAAATTAATTAGGCCTAACAGGTAATTAGTCAGGACAATCAAATTTGGGATAAGACTAGAATTCTTCGTTCATATACTTAAATATTTTTACTTACATGTGTGGCGTTGTTGCTGCTTTAAGCCTTGGCATGCATTTGGAGTATTAATTTTGTCCATTATCGGACACAAAACGAATGAAATACTGTTTATATTGATTTCTTTTACTTTCAGCTATTTTTTTTGTATTCTGAGGATATTATTTTTGGTTTGCAAAATTCTTCAATATACCTAGTGTTAGTTAATATTTTATGTTTATTTCATTTAATTAATGTATGATATACTGAGCTAAGATTGTCGGTATCCGATCTGAAATTCATAGCATTGTT